TGAAATGTTTTTCTTATTCTCCTTATATTTCATATTTTAATGCTCCTACAAACTCTCAAAATTTCAGCATAGACGTTGGGAAGTGGGAAAGAGCAAAACACTGCCTAAGGAACTTTTGACAGCTGATGACTGCTGGGAGGGGGAAAGACAGTGTTCTATGGGTGCAGGACTCTTGGAGGACCCAGTGGATGGACCCACACTGAAGAACATTTAAGGACACAAATAAGACTCTAAAGATCATATTATCTATATAAAAGAGTGCTGTAATTGGCTGGTGGAAATGAGGGGAGGTACAGATATTTGAGGGCATTTGAATACTATTAAAATGTATGAAAACTGAAAAAATTCAATTAATTTTTAAGAAGAATGATATTAACAATATATATTGAAAACTTTGTTTTACTTTCATCATTTAATTGTATTATTTTAATCATTCATAAAAAAAACTAACAGGTAAATCAACATGTCTATCTAGTTCATGAAAATCACATTGGCCTTGAACATCAGAATATAATTATCTGCTGATATTTTAAAGCTAATTTAAAGTTAAAATTTTACGTACAGATTCAGGACAAGTAAGAGGAATCTTCATTTGATTAGGTATGATATAAACAGATGTCTTTGCATGTGAATTGATTTACATTTACTATAATGGCAACTTGATTTAGAACAGAGCAAATATGTATCAATATGTTATGCTGCTATGCGTTAAAATCTTCACTTCAGAACAAGTCTCACATTTTTAATAGGTGCTATTTACTAAACTCATTTGTTAAAACTGTGCCAAGCACTGATCTAAACTCAAAAGATAATTAAAAGGAAACACAAAAATTTAGAGGTTTATGAATCCTACCTACTATGGTTAGGCCAAATAACACAATAAATTGAAAAGAGGAATATGTTTTATACTAACAGGCACAGAGAACCTAAACAAGCCAGAATGTTGGCAGGTTTAGATGTTTCAATAGTTGGAAAAAACATGTGGAAAATGTGATACTTAAAACTGAAAGGAAGGCATGGCCTAATTTCCCGGAGGGAATAGTCTTATCTGACACTATTTGTCAGGCTAGCTCCGGTTGCCATGTAGGCAATATATTCTAAGTGATAATGATAAACACAGAGTGAAGATTTAAGACTGCTGGCAGTTGATGTGACAGAGATGTGCCAGAGTCTAGATATCCTTTGAAGGTATTGTCAAGAAGATGGATTGGACATGGAGTGTGAGATTAAGAAAGGAGCCATGACCCCTGTGAGTATCTGAGAGAACTATTTGTAGGATAGTTTCCACTTATTTATTTAGAGCACATTGTGAAAGGTAATTAGTAGGAGTTAGACATACATAGTACATTTGTGATATATGAAAATTGTATTTTAACCTAAGAATATAAAAGTCAGATCAAAGATATTCATCAGAAATAAAAATTTCACAGTTTTCAAAGGATCATCATTTCATTAGATTATATTAGCAGTATTCTTCCTCCAAATGATTAGTATAATTAGAAAATCATCTGTTTATATTGTAGTTAATGCACTATTCTGAGTTGTCCCATTTATTATTACCTTCAAACGTACTAATTTGGGCATACTTACACATAGGTATGTCTACATACAGATAGAAAGATAGATGATAATGTTGAATGTAGAACAACACACAGAAAGATGGACAGATAGATAATAGATAAATTAATAAGAGATTTTCAGTGGTCAAGAGAAAGAAATAAAAGGAAATTATATGTGTGTAAATTGAAATAGGCAAATATTTACAACCACGGGATTGAATACTGTCAAGTGCTAGAAAAGGAAAATTTCTGCTGATAGGTTTGATCATTTACATCTAATGAGTCAAGTAATGAAGAGTCAGCAGAGATCAAAGAAGGCGAGACATCAAGGAAGTGCTATAAGAGTAAACATCTTCCCATGTCTGTACAGATATGTTAAAACTTATTCTGGATGTCAGCACAATCGTCTTGAGAAAAGATTGATTAATATTGGGACATGCTGCTAGTGCACAGTCATAGTGTGAGACCGTTCCTGTGGATTTGGCAGGTTTTGCACTGCCTGGTTGGTGATTAAGCACATTCCATTTTAGAGAATGAAGAAAAATACCCAGATGAAATGGGCCCAAATAGAATGAAAAGACATAACTGAGGCAGGCAACAGAAAAGCTTGAAGAAAGTAATGAGAGAAATGGAGCAGATTAGTGGAGAAACAAGAATTTGGTAGAATCAAGAGAAGGTTTTCCATTGTTATTGAGTGTGTGCTCTGTGTATGTGCCTATTTTGGTAATTAAAAAAGTAATACAATCAGTATATTTCCTTAACCCTATAGCTATTCCTAAAATTTTTCTTAAGAACATTTTGAATCCTCAACTTGTATGTTTTAAAATTTGACTTGTAATATCTAGATTCAAATCACATACCAGAGGATATATTACTCTTCTCAATATATTTGAAAATATTGCATTTAAGAATATAACAAATCATGGGGCTGGAGAGATGTTTCAGCAGTTAAGAACAATGGCTGTTCTTGCAGAAGACCCAGATTCGAATCCCAGCACCCATATGGTAGCTAACAACTATCCGTAACTCCATTTCCAGGGGATCCAACAGACTTTTCTGACCTCCGCAGACATTGAACAACACGGGTGCACTTACCTACATGCAGGCAATACATGCATACACATAAAAATAATAAATAATTTTTTAAAGTTAATAAAGAAATAACAAATCATGTCAAGAAATAAAACAATATATTTACCAGAAAGAGGCTCATTAAATTTTTTCTTATACTTTATTTTCATTAATATTATCTCCCCAAATGGTTATTAAATTTTAAAAACAACTTTGCTCCTATACAGCTCAAGGCTCTATTCTAAGGAGTCTCATTTTAATAATTCATCATAAGCTTACAAGAAAGGCTTTATTAATCTTTGAGCTAACAAAAGGCCTGGGAGTAAGTGACTCATTGTCTCTCTAAGTCTTGACATAGGTGAGTGATAGAGCAGGAATTAAGTCTAGGAAGGCCTACTTACTACCCCCACGCAATTGCACAAGAAAAACAATATTGAACAAGACTAGCAAAATAGTTTGTCTTTATTATGATTATAAACGCAGTGATAAAATTTATGAAAGAACAACCAAAAACATCACTAATGAAGTTAATAAAGACCTTTTTTTTTCTCTTGTATATCTTCATTATTATAAAACGATCATCAAATTAGGAAATAAAACATCACAAAGTCCTCTTTTTTAATGAAAACTTAGATATTTGATTTACTAAATCACAAATTATATATACTATATGGATAGAGCAGTTTGGCAGTAGATGGGTAAACTTGCATGTATTGTAACGTTACTTGGATATCCAGTAAAGGTTAAAAAAAAAAAAAAAGGAAAATTGGACAATGGGTGGAGATGGAAGGGAGGAAACAGAGCAACTATAGATGGTAAAGAACCCTGTCAAACTGACTTTAACACAGTAGCATCTGTAACATTAACCACTTGGGAGGCAAATACCAGAAATTTCACAATTAAAATTTGAGATTCCTAAGAATACAGGCTTTCAGAAGGTTTTAATTCTTCATTTTGTATTTTAAGATCCATGCATGTTAAAATTCTTGTTGTACCCTGAAAGAAAATATCAAGTATGGGAGTAATAATTAGGAAGTGATTCATCTCTTATTATCTCAAGGTAGTAATTCTTACCTTATTGCCATCCAGTCCATTCATTGCTTTATTTTCCCTTGTGTATTTTTCATAGGTTTTGATATTTTGATAGTAAGAGATTGCAAACATATGGAGTTTTCTTGAGAAATTCTTTATAATTGTCTATTTCTGTAAGCATTTGTTAAATTCAAAAATTCTTATTGATTCATTAAGCAGAAATGAATTATATGAAGTATTAAATTCACATATCCAAATTCTATTGCCTATAATATATAAATCATTTGTACAAGTATAGTAGATGTATGCCATTTTAAATTGTTTAGAAGTAAATGGTTTAAGATCTCCTAGGTGTTACTAATGATTTATAAACATGTACATTTCTTAGTAATTATTTTTAATCAAAACTAAATATTATTTCATTAAACTAATACATCATCCATATCAATATAATTACTAAATTTAAAAGCACATATATTATCATATGTATATTTTTTAGAATTATTAACAGCAATGAATAATTTCTTCTCTTTTCCTCTTATCTAGCAGGCCACCCACCGCATGGCTAAAGTGATTGAATTTTATCTTCAGACTAAAAGCAAGCACTATTCAGTATTTGTGTAAATCAAAACATGATTTTTACTGAAAATGTCACTCTTGTAATGAATTAAACTATTACTTTCTTTTCAAATTTATGTGAAAAAAGTTTGTAATGATACATGTACTTACATCTAAAATGAACATGTGCTCATATTTTGATTTTCTAACCTAATATGTGCAGATTATTATTATTATTTTTGGATAATTGCATATCACATACAGGGAGGTGGCATGTTAACTAAGACATACTCATCAAGAATGTGAAGACTGCTTTTTTAAACAATGAAATTTTCATAAAAGTAAGAACAAAACAGAATGCTAAAATACCTAATCCTAAATATATGCTAAATGTATTTATCATCCATTAATTTTACCTCCCATTTTCTATAAACACTGTTAAAATGCTATGTATTTTGTATTGCAATAATTGCATGAAGATAAAATATAAAGGCAGTCATTATACTGTCCACATCTAGAACTGAATATTTTACCTCTGAATAATGGACCACAAAGCAGAAAACATGTGAAAAGATTAATTACAATATGATTGGTTAAAATCAAACAAGAACAATACAATAAATCCTTTATCCCTAAACAACACGTAAAGCGTCTGATCCATTACTCTAAAATTAAGCTTAAAAGTTAGAAATGGATTTTGACATAGTGCTTTCAGCTAATTAAGTAATCAGTAACCTACAATCCCAAAAGGAATCATTTAAATATATAAATGAAGCTTACCTTATCCACAATACATATCTGGTTTCTTGTTTGGGCATCCAGTATTTCTATCTCAAAGTGAATAGCTTTTGAGTGCTTGACCGCTGGGGTTGGCTTCAGTGGGCCTGCAGAGAGTACAAGTTGCGACAAAGAGTGAAAATTTCTCATATTGTTCTTCATTGTGGACTGTGGAACTCCCGGGAATAATAATTCCCTCTTGTGTTCCAAAGACTTGTTCCGTTTGAACATTGTGTGAACTAGCAGGAGAATCAGTCATGTAAATAGGAAACACTTGCAAGAGTGCTCCTTTTGCACCAGTTAAATACTGCTGTGGAGCCGGAGAGGTCAAGTGGCATACCATTCCAGCATGCCAGTTTTATTTAGCAGGCTTGCAAACAATGACGGATCTGATTTCTATATATAACACTATTTGGAATTGCTGCAGAGTAGTGCATTGCCTTCTGCATTTGAATTATTTCTTGCTTTCTCATCTTATCTCTGTTTCTTATTATGACCACTCTTATCTGAAATTCCAAAGGAAGAAAGAATAGTGTTTCTATTATCTTTGAATTCTGGTTACAGTAATCTTCAAACCTATTACTTACTTGTTCACAATCTGAAATATACTAAGTTTAGCATAGTGACATCTTAGAGGATAAACTATAAAATTGCATTTTATTATATAATACATTTTAATTCTGTCTAAATTTAAGGTCAGTGCTGTATATGTGAAGACACTCTGCTTAAGCATAGATTTCACTTAATTATACACTTACAAGCAATAACCAATGGAATGGGGGAAAAAAGATTTATAGAGAGGAAACAAGTTGGTAGACAGAATCATTACCATGTGACCAGATCAAAGACAAAGTAATGGACATTTAAACAGTATTCTTCAATAGAGAAAATATGAAAAATATTTGGCAAGCTGTGGCAAATTAGAAGACTGATATATATGACAGTGAAGGTGAAATTCAGTATTTTATCTTGAATTGTTGCTCGAACAACAAAGAACTTTAATGGGAAAACTGATGAGCCTGAACTAGAAATAACAACTTAGTTTGAATATCAGCATTTACCACTGTTAATTATGAGTTTGGCAAGGGACTAAAATTAAAGAAACTGTCTGAAGAGTAAATACAACAATACCAACCGAGTAAGATGTGTACAACCTAGGTGGGAAGGAGAGAAACACTCTCACAAATTGCCCACTGACCTCTATATACCTACCAACATAATTGTACACACACAAACACACAACAATGAAAAAGTAATAAATACAGCTTAATATTTAAAAAAAACAAAATACATTTCAGTGTGTATAAAACGATTGAAAATACAAAATGTGGTAATGGTAGTCCATCTACCAAAACAATATTGATAACAGATATCATGCCTGTAGAAAGAGAAAGTGGTGAAAAGCATAGTTCACATGGTCAAACTTGCATATGTTCATTCCTGACACTACTTTTAAAATACGAGAGAATGAAAAAATATTCAAAATTCTGAATTATTTAGCTTATACAAATGAAATTGTTTTAAAGACAAATAGTTTCAGTTTCCCAATTTAATTTGTAGCATTGATGATTAACACTGCCTTAGTATGCATGACAACAGTAAATGAATTGAGTTTAAAACAATATTGATATTTAAAACATACTTAAAATAGAAACATGATTTAAAAGAATCAATAATAAGTTAGATTCACTCTAATGAAATTGATTTATAATAAATTGCCAATAAGTAAAAGGAAATGGGGCATCATTTATCTGTCCTTGGTATCTTTCCTATCTTTTCAACAAAACAGCACTCTATCCTGCTTCCATAGGCTATTTATATGACAATGCTTAGAGGGTCATTTCTTTTTTTAAAATGTATCTATCGGGGCTGGAGAGATAGCTCAGCAGTTAAGAACACTAACTGCTCTGCAGAGGACCATTCCCAGAACCAACATGACAGCTACGAACCTTCCTTAACTCCAGTTCCAGGGGAATCCGAAGTCCTTTTCTGACCTCCACGGCATTGCACAACATGGGTGCACTCACATACATGCAGGCAATACACTCATACACATAAAATAATAATAAAATCTTTTAAAAATAAATGTATCTATGTATCATTTTACTTTATAAGTATCTAAGTGCCTGCTTGCCTATAAGGCACCTTGTGGCTATAGGTGCCATGAAGACCAGAAGAGGGCCTAGGACTCTCTGAAACCTGGGTTATAGGCATTTGTGAGCTGGTGTGGATGAGGACTGGAACCAGACCTGGGGTCTTTAAAAGAACACAAACTGTTCAAAAGGAATATTGGCAACTGAATACCACTAGATGAGGAATAGCTGACCCTCATAGATAGGCTGACTAGATTCACCAGAAGGACAAGTAGTGGGGAATGGCTGGGGGTGCCGACAACATAGCAGACAGTAGCAGGGATATCAAAGTATAAGGGCTCTAGTGGGTGGAGGGAGGCTATGGAGGGTGCTACCTGGGAAATGGGTCTATAAAAAAAATTCTTCAAAGCATAAAAATATGCTCCTTAGTAACTAGTAGATGTAAAAAACATTACCATTGAAATCTACCTGATGACTTTATATCCATGCTCAGATGCTAAAGAGCTCAGAAATTAACCGACTGTCACTAGTAAAGGATATATAGAGATTAGAAACACATGTGCAAACATCTTAATGAAAATTGCATTAAAAATGAATTTTTCTGCATGAAATTGTGTATTTTAATAATGAAATGGATATCTTTTTTAAAGGTTAAAACCTCATTTAATTTTATGTCTCATAGGGTTTATACTGAGTACAATATTGTACAACTGTAATAATTCAACTGTAAACCTAAAAGTTCACAGCCAATTCTTCTAATCATTTGGTTATAAAATAAATAATTAAATAATAATAATAATAATAATAATAATAATAATAAGTAGATGTGAAAAGCATTACCATTGAAATCTACCTGATAACTTTATATCCATGTGCAGATGCCAAGGAGCTCAGAAATTAACCGACTGTCACTAGTAAAAATTAGATATATAGAAATTAAAAAACGCATGTGCAAACATCTTAATGTCAATTGCAATATTTCTTTAAAAACATTTATTTTTATTTTATGTTTTTGTGTTTATTGCCTGCACGTAGGTAAGTGCACCTGTATGGTTCAATGCCCGCATAAGACAGAAGAGACTGTCAGATCTCCTGGAACTGGAATTACTGACAGTTGTTAGTGGCAATGTGGGTTCTGGGATTCGAACCCAGGTCTTCTGGAAGAACAGTCAGTGCTCTTAACCACGGAGCCATCTCTCCAGCCCCCTTTTAGAACAATTTTAATTTATAGAAAAAACCCCAAACCTTCTTTAAATTTTTTTAATGACTTTTAAAATTACTTTTAATTACTCTGTGTATGGGTTTCTGCATGTAGGGCAGTGCCCACAGAGGCCAGAAAAGGGTGATGGAATCTGTGAAGCTAAAGTTACAGGTAGTTGTGAGCTGCCTAATATGAGTGCAATGAACTGAATTCTAGTTCTCTGCAAGAGCAGTGTTCTCGCTTAACTCCTGATCCCCCTTGCCAGACCCCATAGAGTTCTTAAAAAATGTTTTGCCTCATTCCAACACATACTTTCACTCACTCATTGTCAAAATACTGTATATTTATTAAATGATATCAGCATGCACAAGACTCATACAAACACAAGCAGATAAAAGCCCAGCATAGAACTGGGGAAACAGCAGCAGGCTCCAAACTTAGCAGAAAAATTATTGGTAACTGATTACAGCCAGGTAAGGAGAACTGATCTTCTTTAAAGAAATGACTCTAGATGGGCTGACTAGATCCCAGTGGATGAACTTGCACAGATGGATATGTGGGTACACTAATTTGACTCAATTTACCTTAACATAAATGACAGAATGCATAAAATTCGCCGGTGGGTGGCAGGGCTATGGAAGAGCATGGATGGAGGAAGGGTATAAAGATGATCAAGGTGCTTTGTGTGAAATACACAAAATATCAGTAAAAAATATACTATTTTTAAAAATGCATACTTTATAATTGAAGAACCAATATTGCTGGGTTATCATTAATCAGCCTCCATAGGTACATTTCAAGGTCAGACTTTGTTTCAAATTCTGAGTTTTGGCCAGGTGTGGTGGCACAGGTTTTAATCCCAGCATTCAGGAGGTAGAGGCAAGCAGGATCTCTATGAGTTCAAGGCCAGCCTGGTTTACATAGTGAGTTCCAGGCCAGTGGGGGCTAGAGGGAGAACCTGTCTCAAAGAGACCAAAAAAAAAAATCTGAGTTTTGAGAAAGAGATAATGCCATGCACCTTTTATAACATTATACAGAATAACTTTTGTGATTTAAAAGTGTCTTCTGCTCTCCCAACTCATTTCTCCTCAATGCCTTGGGCCTTTGGAAACTTGTGATAATTTTGCTTTGCTAACCATTTTCCTTTTTGTAGATAAGAATGTCCACAGCCTCCTATTCCAGCCTCCTGAGTGCTGGAATTAAAGTTGTGTGTCATCATGCCTGCTCATAAAAAAATATATTTTGATCATGTTTAAATACCTTCGTCTATCTGTCCCTACAGAATTTTGGGTACTCTATTGCACCAGGGTTCATATCTTGTCAGGTCACTTGTTGAAGCAAATAGGATTCAAATACGGGTAAGGTTAATGATTTTTTTTTCCTTCTGCTATGAAAGCTAGCCGGTAGAAATGAAGGTTTGAGTCTAGTGCCAGTTTGATTTCCTCTTATGTATTCAATGGCTCATACATGCTGAGTTTTCAGTAAGGGTCTTACTTGAGTTCTGGTGTGTAAATGAAAGCATGGTCAATGGCCAGTATTGTTTGAGGGTCTATGTGAACTCTGGTCAACAGCATCAAAAAAGAGTCCACCACTGGCAATGGACATTTACTTTGCTAGCCTGTGGTGATTAGTAGGAACAAGATCATTCTGTTATAAGGTAACTCCCTTTAATCTCCTTTTATTATGAACACACACACACACACACACACACACACACACGGAGCTTCTGTTTTGTATTGGTAGGTTTTCATATAACTTTTTCTAAAGGCCTTCAGTATTGTTTATCTTTCTTATTACATTAGACAATACCTTTTGTAGACCAAAAAACTTTTAATTTTAATATAGTCCAAATTAGTTTTATTTCTCAGTTCATGAATTTGCTTCTGGATCTGAAAGTCATTACCATACCTAAAGTTACCAAGATATTCTTCTATATACTTGTACTGGGCAGCTTTTAGTTCTAACTTGACATACCTGGCTACAGGGCACTTCAGTTGAAGAACTGTCCCCTTGAAAGACCTGTGGCCATGTCTATGGTGCATTTTCTTGATTGTTGGTGATGTGGGAGGGCCTAGTACACTGTGGGTAATATGACCCCAAGCAGGTGGTCCTAAATCATATAAGAAATCAG